CACAGAATTTACTCTTGATTTGATCGGGCTTGGAACATTGGGTAGATGTTGGTACCACTAATCAAGGCTGTTAATTGAGAAGGAGGATTCAGTTGGGGCCAAGTTCAGTTGTGCTATTCATGGAATATTCTCCTAGAGCGGTGTAGCAAGCAGTGTGATGGTCAGGTCAGGAGATAAGGAAGTAAAGCTTTAAGATCATCAACCTGGAGCTTATCATTGAAATCCCTCTTACAAATACTACCAACCACTGAGAGCTCATAGCCAGATAAGAGGACAATAGAGAAAACTGGCACACTACTATTAAAAATGTAGTCCAGCCACTGGCTGCCTGTCCACTAATAGTTTCTTACTAGTCCATGATAGCACAAGGGATTTATCTCAGAATATAATCAACTGCATCACTAAGCCCACTGTTTACTTTAGCTGACTTTTTCCTTTTAATCTTAGCAAGATTCTCAATGAAGGAAGCCTTGCATTAATTAATGTCTAGGTGCAAACTTCTTATTTTGTCCCAGATCAGCACTTTGAGTATCACTAATATAGAGAACACTAATATTTAAGTTTTAGGAAGAGGTGTCCAGAGAGAGAGTGAGAAGGAATAGTGTGAGTGACAAGATGAGAAGCAGAAGAAAGGGATGTATGTGTACGTGGTTTAAAGGAGCGAGTGGTCAGCATAGCCACGGAGAGATCAAATATGATTGAGGACTAAAAACTAATGATTGGAGCCCTGGCCGGTGTGGCTGTTGATTGGAGCATTGTCCTGTGCACCAAAAAGTGGTGGGTTCAATTCCCGGTCAGGGCACATGCCCAGGTTGTGAGTTCGATGTCTCTCTCTCCCTTCCTCCCTCTAAAATCAATTTTAAAAACAATTGGATTTGGCCACTACAGGGTCATCAGTAACATTTTAAGAGTTTTAACCTCTGCTTGTTCTTCCACCTTCTGCCATCTCATTTTTATCCCACCAATCTATCTCCCAAATAATTCTCAAATCTATACTTTGGCCAGATATACCAAAAGGCCTCTTTGATTCTAAATCTAAAATACTCTTGGATTCCATCTTCCTTTTATTTAGCTCTTGCTGATCTGAAGTGACTGATCATTCTCTTTCCATACTCTTCCCTCTGCCGTACATTGACCTTGGTTTTCCTTCTCACACCCCACCTATCTATCTCTGCCCATCTCTTCTACACATACTGCATGTTTTTAATTACACCCATTTCTTAAGTTATGTATGGTATCAATTTCCAAACCACATTTCTTTCCTGAACTACAAGGCAGTCTAACAGTCTCTTGGACATGAATGCCCCAGACTCTTCAAGTTCAATATGTCCAAAAGCTGAGCCTGAATTCTCACCTACATTCTTCCCTATAATCCTTTCTTCCTAAATCTCATACCTCGGATTGTCATCTGCCCTGTTGCCAAACCGTGGGCTTGAGCATCTTGCTTGACTCCCTCCTTCTTTCTTATCCAGCTGGTTTCACCTCCTAATGACACTTCATAACATTAACTCTCCCTGTGCCCACCACCTATCTCTGGGCCACCCGTATTTCTGACCTGAATCACTGAATTCTCCTCTGGGCTGGGGGCTCCCTTTTTCAGTCTTCACTTGCCTCCAGTACCCTGGCCACGTTGGAGCTGGAGTCCTCTATCTAAATGGAAATTTGGTCACATCACTCTCTTATTGAATTGTTTGCCCACCCCCGGTCTTACCTCTACTCTTCCTCTATAGATTCAGGTCAATTTGATTTTTGTTTCAGTTCTTTAATCTCAATCTCAATCTCTCTCTCTCTCTCTCTCTCGCTCTCGCTCTCGCTCTCGCTCTCGCTCTCTCTCTTTCTCTCCTTCCCACCCCTCACCCTCACCTTCCCAGAGGCTCCTGTGGCTGCCTGGAGCACATTTCTATTTCCTGTTCACTGGTGAGTTTTTTCTCCATCCTCAGGAAGTTTCCACAACCCTGTAAATCTGAGTTGTGTGGACTTCCTCTGTGATCTCCTAGCATCCTGCCTTTCCCATGTATAACCCTTGACATATTGTCCTGTAATCTTTCATTTTTGTCCTGAATCCGTGCTCTCCTCTGAGTTTAAATCTCTGAGGCGGCAGGAACAATATCTCTTTGGCACATCATTATGCTTCAAGCTCCTTCCTAGTGCAGTGCCTAGAATAGTATGAACATTCAGTCCATGTTTGTGAAATGAAATGAATGCTCTTCTGAGAACTTTCACATCCATTATCTCAGTGGGGGTACAGTTGAACAATTTGGAGAGGATTTTAACGAAACACGAGATGTCAATGCATTAGAAGATTAAATTTTTTGTTGAGTTGTTTTGCACTAGTAGGAGGAAGGAGAAATTAGTCAGGAAAGCTGATTAGGAGAGTAGATGCATTTAATTCCACCGCATAGAACAAAGAGGAAGAGATTTTTTTAAACCAGCTTGCATCATTTAAATTTCATCTTCCTTCTGAGAAGCTAACACCTGTAAACTGTGTGTGTTTTAATATTTAAAGGTGTCAGATTGTCCATCTTTTAGGGCTTTTTCTCCACCTGGAAAAACTTTAGATAAGATCATTTAAAAATCTACCTGTATACTTTGCTTATTGAGTTTATTGTGTGTGTGTGGGGGGGGGGGGAGGAGGGGGGAGGAGGGAGGTTACAGAAGTGAGCAATCGATTTATAGCTTTTTCTTTTCTAAAAAAATTGAAATGAAATATTTTTAAAGATTTAATTGAGTTTTTAAAACAGAAGTACAGAAGAAAACAAAGAAATGGGCAATAATAGGAGGAAATCGAGGCTAAGAAAACCTAGGCAAAGGTATATGTGATAAGATACATTGCTTGCTATCCTTTAACTTCTTCTCAAAATGAACTTCCGAAAGCTGGAGAGAGAGCTCACAGTTCAAGATAGACTTTGCAGGCCTGAAAATTTGCCATCTTGTTTGCTATGGCAGAGGGACATGCAAAAGCCGGTGTGGCTCAGTGGGTTGTGTGTTGTCCCATGCACCTAGAAGTCACCGGTTGGATTCTGGTCAGGGCATATGCCTGGATTGCAGGCCTGATCCCTGGTAGGGGGCATGCAGGATGCAGCCGATCACTGTTTTGCTCTCATATCCATGTTTCTCTCTCTCCCTCCCCTCCTCCTTCCTCTCTCTCTCAAAAAAAAAATCAGTAAAAATACATATTTTTTAAAGCTAGGACTTTGCAGTCAAGTAGTTAAAAACACAGAGCAGATTCAATGCCAGCTGTGCCACTGCAAAGTAAATGGTCTGTTTTGCCACTAGTTAAGAAATTGGCATGTGTTCTATCTAAAATGGTGGCTGTCTAGGGTTTGCATAGAGATGTAGATTGTAGAATATTTAGAGAAAAGGAGGGTCAAGACTTTTTCTTCAAAGCACAACTTTGAATCCACTGAACTCATATATATATATATATATTCATTTGGAGCTCCTAATTCTCTATAACACATGGAAGAGACATGCCTGGTTGGGAACAACTTGAGGAGAGGATGCCAGAGTTATCTGCCTCTACAAGAAAAATGACCTCACGTAGATTTCATGAACACTTAACTTTGACCAGCCAGCACTGTGTTCTCACAGATCTATAAGAGAAGTTAGCTTAAAATGCATCCCGAATAGCTACCTAAACAGACCTGTTGAGTGGCATCGAATGAGACTTTCTTCCCATAATTAACTAATGTGCTTGTAGGTCATCACAGTGGTTTCTGGGTATGAGGATCACATGACCAGTTTGTATGAGGAAATTTGCCATCTTGACCATGCAAAAGCCTCATCTAAAAGTGACAGGGATCTATTTAAGTTTCAAATTAAACAGGAGAAATAGGGCTGTTTCATGTGACTTAGAAATGGACTTTACTCTGTCAGAGTCCATTCCTATCTTCCCTGACTCCCAAGGCTTAAACATGGCGGTCATACTGAGACCATGTGGTTTGACAGAGTCGGGGCTGACAGTACAATAATAAAAACCTTCAACTGTTCTCCATAGTTTTCTAGTTGGTGAAATGTAACCTCAACAATGTCTCAGTGAGAATAATCATTCCTCATATTAGATTTTGAGATTCCAAACATATCTGTAGAGAAATCTGACCAAGATTTTGGGGAGAGTCAGCATACGGGCACATCTGGAATTCGGGGAGTTGGAAATTGTCTGATGTGTGAACTGGATGGACTAAGGGAAAAAATGTACCTAAGTGATGAGGGTAAATGGCTTGTTCATTCTGGTAACAGGATAAGAGTTTCCTCTCAACGCCACAACCACTGCCCAGCCATTCCTCTGAGCTGCCTGGGGGTTGTTCTTAATGCTGTGGTTTCTATATGATTATTTCGGTGGTTTCTCTGAGTTACCCAGATGAGTAATTTTAATGTGGTGCCTGGCGTGGGATTTTTGGTTCAGAGAGACCGAGACACAGGAAGAACCTGTGGTGAATGCCGTACAGAGTGCGGGTATTGCCCATGTGTCTCTATTCTCCTTATCTTGCCACTCCCTTGTTCTCACGTAAAACGAGGGAGACAATTTTTTAAATTTTCCAAAAACCAAAACTCTGCCTGGTGATGGTTTCCCCGGCCCCAGAGCTGATTTTTCTCTTTCATTTCTTTCCATGGACCGGTAGCCTTTTTGTAGGTGTGAGTGCGCTGGTTCGGCTCATGTGTGAGTCCCTCAGTGTGGCCAGGCACTGTCTGTGGAACGGGAGAAGAGTGGAAGTGGGGGTGAGGATTGGGGGATGGAGGGGAGCACTGTCTAATCATAGAGAACCACGAAGAAAATTTAGGCAACTGAGTATGACCTGCTGTCTTCAATTAAATTTTAGTCATTTCTGATCACATGTGTTTTCAAAACAAGTGTTGGCATCAAATATCTCAGATTATTTGCCAATGCTAATAAAAGGTAATGCGGAATTTGTTCGACTCTTCAAACTTCCCCATGAATTGAAACAAGGTTAATCGTGGTGCTAGAACCAGGAGATAAAGTTCTTCCTGTCTGTCTACAGAATACAGTACCATCCACAGCCCGTCAACACCCATTAAAGATTCGGACTCTGAGCGATTACGTCGAGGTTCTGATGGGAAATCACGTGGACGAGGCCGAAGAAACAATAATCCTTCACCTCCCCCAGATTCTGATCTTGAGGTAAGTCATTGCCAACACCTGAGCAATAACACGGCATCTTAGAGCTAAAGGATGGTTCTGAAGACCTGCGTTGTTACAGCAGAGACCAGCGTGTCCAAATGCTTTTGTTACTGCTTCCTTTTCCATTGTAACTATAAGGAAAGCATTGTTTTCTTTCTTCTGCATGCATTCTAGGGAAAACAATTATTTCTGTTCTCTCTCCCATTTAACTATATGGTAAAGTATCTGCTTATTTCTCTCTAAGGGAATACAGTAAATTACATAATTCTGCTTGAACAAAATTATCTTATAGTGCTCTATATCACTGTCATTTCAATGAGGTAATTAAAGACACACTTACGTATGTTAAGAAAGGAAAACCTGGAATGTTCTAAACTGACGTGGTCATCCTCTTATGAGGTGTGAGCTGGTGGAGTTCAAAAGCAGGAGGGATGAAACAAAACCTTCCAGGGTCAGTAGGCTTCATAGCCTCGAATCCATAGCAATTATATTTCTGGGTTTGGTTTTTATTTTTTTTGTTTTTTCCCCAAATTGGAACCTTATTTGGGAAACGTGATTATTTTGGCCAAAAAGATGAAAATTTTCAGCAGGACCTTAAATGAATATGTACTGGTGTAAGTGGGAATGGAGAGAAGAAAAGCAGGCATGAGGCCTTTTGGGGTATCTCAAAGACCTTCTTTGAAATGAGTTCTTCAAATCCAATTCCAAATACCCTGAGAGTATGTCAACAGCAGTGTGATGTGTCTGCTTAAGTTATTAACTATCTGGAAACATCAGAATATTAAATATATAATCTGGCCAATTGATAACAGCCCAATAGGTAACATAAAGTGAATAGATGATGGAAAGTTTTAGTTTTTGTGTGCAATTTTTTAATACTTTGCTTGATAGAAATAAAGCATAAGATTAGCTCCTTTAACACTTCCTAATGAACAGAGAGTAGAAATAAGGACAAGATAAATTGAATGATTTTTTAATTGATTGTCCCTCTCTGTCTCAGAAGTTATAAACAGACTAGTTTTAGCTCATTTTTTTATTTCTTCAGAGCTGCGACTGAGAACCTGTTTCAGAAGTAGGAAGGCCATATGTTATTATGTCTCTCCTATATTTGTGTTGATGTTGCTAACAGAATTATCCTCTTGTATGTCATCTGAGGTTACAGCAGAAGAAAAGTTGGGAGACATACTTTGAATAGTTGAATTTTTAAAAAAAATAGTAAATCAGATTTTTCGTTTGTCTCCCATTTCAAAAGAATTGCTCATGTTGAAGGTATGAATAACAAGGTTTCTTAAGCAAAAGAAAGACACACCGATTTGGTTCTTCCTTTGTAGAGGGTGTTCATCTGGGACTTAGACGAGACAATTATCGTTTTCCATTCCTTGCTTACTGGGTCCTACGCAAACAGATATGGAAGGGTGAGTACCAGGAGGTTTTATTTTTTCTTTAGAATAACAAGGCCTAGAATTGAATTTTGGTCCAAATGGGAATGTGGTTAAACTTTAAATGATAAATCAAAAGTCTAAAAAAGAAAATACCTTGATGGGTTGGCAAAAACACGTAAATGAACAAAAGGAGATATTTTTTGATTCTTAAAAATGAGATAAACTTTATGCAATTTAATTCATTCTTACTTCAGACCCCAATGAATAAAAGTGATTGAATACTATTCTAAGATGATATATTAGAATGTTTAGATGACATAGGAAGATCTCTTGGGTTGTATTTTTTATTTGCCATGCCCTTCTATTTATTTATTTACTCACAACATATTCAATGGAGCAGATATTCACTTGCTGATGTCTTCAGTGATTAGCAGTATTAATATTTTATTTTGCAAAGCACCTGTTATGAATGTCTTTACAAATCCCTTTGCCATGAGATTAAATTTATAGGAATGGTATGCACCATTGGGCCTCTGAATGACAATAGAACCAATACTTTTATGTTTGAGTTGTAATAACACTTATCTTGGTGTTGTAGGTAAAAAATAATGTTATAGACCACCTCGTGAATAGACCTTCAGTTTCAGTGTTCTGCATTTGAGTTTTCTAAAACCTTGGTCATTTTTTTGATATATTGCTTGATGGATTCATAAACCTTTCCACACACTAATCATGCTATTTAAAGTGGCTATAAATAATTTCTGAAATTATTCTTTAAATATGATATTTTAATTTTTTAATCTTTAAAGAAATAATTAACAAATCTTAGATTCATAAACTATTGGTTTGGAACCTTAAAAACGAAACTGTTTATCACAGTTGATACCCATAAAATGTGCATACTGTCATTACAGATCCTTCCCAGGTATTCATTGTTTCAATAAGTATAATTGAGTGCTTGCTCTGTAGGTGTAGTGTGGAAGTGAAAGTAGGGAATTATCAATTGAGCTTCACAGTGCAGCTTTCCTTCTCCTAACCCTAAAGATATGCCTAATAAAAAAATGGCTGAAAAAATGCACATTTGTAAGAGTAAGAATAATCCACCATTTGAATTTCTGTCCAAAAATAAGGTATCTGTAAAACCTTATTGTTAAATTTCTAAGAGAAGACAACAATTAACAAAAATTCAGATTATGAAAATAAAACCATAGAATCAGTCATTCTAAGAAAATCTATTATGTGCCTAACACAATAAGGATTCAATAATTATTAGCTGTGTTGGTTTTTTTGGTATTATTATTTATATTAATACTCTACTTATACTTTCATTTACTTGAAATAGTGATATTCCTATTTTTACAAAACAACTTAGAAATTGATTACAGATGAATACATGTAGCCAGTAGGAAGAATCTGGGAGATCTTAACTAAACCATTATAATGTCCTATAACTAACTTCTATGGGAGAAAGGTGGCTCTTGGAACTCACACAAAAGTGTTGGAAAGAGCAGGCACGAAGAAAACCAGAATTTGAAAATCATCCAGAAAGTCTTGAATCTTTAAAAACTTGCTCACTAAGGGCCAAATTGATGCAAACAGAGTTGTCTTGATCAGTTCTCTGTGACCATTGAAAGGAGTCAGCTTAGAGCATCCTGTGACCTATTGACCTCATGTCACTCTTTGACCATAAATTATTCATTTACATATGGAATTCACGCCTCACCTAGAAACTGCTGGCTACCTAGAATTTTCCATTCAGATTCTCAACAATACCATGAGTTATATTTTTAAAAGTGTCAATCATTAGTATTTTGAGGTTTCATCAAATAGTATTTTGTTTGTTAGTCTGTTTACTTTTCTCATACTAGGGCAGGTGATAAAAAGTTTTACATATAAGTCCTCAAAACAAAAATTGCATATTCTTCAAAGTGTGGGTGATTTGATATATTCAAATGTAAGCTTACTTATTTATAAGTTGATAGGAGTCTGGGAGAAAGCAAATTGGGAAAGCCTAGTTAGGGAAGGTCTTCCTGAGGTCAGAAAGATCTGAATAGGCCAGTAGGTTATGTAATCATCAAGAGAAAGAATATTCTTTAAAAAAAAGAGAGAATGTTCTAAACAAAGGAAACAGCAAGTGCATACACAGAAAAGGGCTTGATGCTTGAGGGACAAAGGGCAGTGTTGTCAGCTTTGTGATGATGATACAGAGTCAAGAAAGAGGAGGGCCAAGACAGAGGGCCGTCCAGCCATGGTCAGGAGAGTTGATCTCATTGTACATGCCATAGGATGCCATTCAAAGTCTTTAAGAGAGCACCATGACAGATCTGCTTTGGATTTTTAGATGTCTTTGGCTGTGTGTGGATAATTGAAGGTAGGGGCAGAGGAATGGAAGAACAGGGGAGGTTTTAGCAGTGATCTGATTCATTAGCAGTAGAAATGGAGAGAGCTGATTGGATTCTAGATTCTAGTGCCAGTGGGAAATTTGGATTTGGAAATGATTTGGATTGGGCTGGTGGGCAATCCTAGCCTATATAATAAAAGACTAATATGCAAATTGACCAAATGGCGAAACGACCGGTCATTATGGCATGCAGTGACCACCAGGGGGAAGACACTCAACGCAGGAGCTTTCCCTTGGTGGTCAGTGCGCTCCCACAGGGGGAGCACTGCTCAGCCAGAAGCCAGGCTTATAGCTGGTGAGCACAGCAGTGGTGGCGGGAGCCTCTCTGGCCTCCATGGCAGTCGGACATCCCCTGAGGGGCCCCAGAACCATCCCTTGAGAGGGCTCAAGCCGGGCTAAGAGACCCCCCCTCTCACCCCTCCCCCTTGCAGGATTTTCGTGCACCAGGCCTCAAGTAATAGAGAGGAATGAAAAGATCATCATCAGGGTTTTTTTGTCGTTCTGAGCAACTGAGAGAATAGCCATATGAGAGTGTTGAGATGGGGAAAAACTAATTTAGAAGAGAAATGGAAAGTTTGGTGTTGGACAAGTTTGAGATGTCTGTGAGACATCCTGAGCCCAGGAATGAGGCTGTAGTCAGGGCTGGAGATGTGTCAATAGTGCCCAGCTCGGGATCACAAGCTTCTGAGATGCTCTTAGCTTGATTGCTCACTAAATGTTTATTGCACACCTTCTTCGGGCTGGATGCTCAAGGTCAGCCATTGTGTCCTGGTCCAGATGGGTTTTGAAGACACCATTGCTAATTGAATTGTAGCCTGAAGCAATGGAGAACGCTTGCTTCATGTTCTCTTCATTGGAGAACTTGAGAGTCGAGCAGAATTTGTTCTCAGATCTGATCATCATGCCTTGTAAAAATGTGGTCCAACAAGGATTCTTCCTGACAATAATAATAACCAAGCTGATCAGAACATCCCGTATCCTTTCATCTCCCCTGAGGCTGAGGAGAGAGGTCTTAAAGCAGTTCAGGTCTTAAAGGCAGCCTTCCTTCTTGGAGCACATGTTCCGTGGTGTGCTTTGTGCCTGCGCATTGTCAAGGGGAGCATGGAAGGCTGGGCCTTACTCTCCAGGCCTAGAAAGAAATGAATGCCTGACAATGTGATAGCTGTTCTGTCTCCATGGGAACCAGACACTTGAGAAGTAGCTTAGTCACACTAGCTTAGGCAACTCAATGAGTAGGCCATTGAGTAAGGGGACACAGGATCTGGTTGATATAATGCAAAATTAGGGCCTGTTCCAGCAATATGTACCAAAAAAAAAAAAAGTTTGAGAATGTCCCACCTTCCGTGTAATCCTAGCTCTGGGAAGCAGGCATGTTGGGTGTTATAAAGAAGTGTTGTTTTAATAACAAAGGTGATGGGAACTAAAGGAGGGTGCTGGGTCCAGGGCAGGTTTGGCTGGGGAAGAGAAGAGAAGAGAAGAGAAATAGCATCTTAGCAGGAAAATAAAGCCCATGGGCGTTCCTGTTAAGTAGGTTGTTGTTAAATAATATCTGTCCCAGCTTTCTTTGTTTAATGCATTTTTAGAAGTTGCTCTAAAACTGAGTCCAAATTCCCCAATTTCACTGAAGAAAGCTAGTCTTGATTTTTTTCATTGAATGCTCTTTTAAAAATAGACAAAATATTTTGGAATTTTCATGGAATTGTTATTCCGACGTGAATTCCCCGTGAGCATGTATTAAACTTTGATTTTTCTACTGTTTAAAAAAAAAATAGATCAGAGCGTGCTCTCCCTCCCAGCAGCGCGCCCGCCCCTCCCCCTTTCCCCTCTCCTTCCCCCTCAGGCATGCCTCTCCTCAACTCCAAGGGACCCCAGGAGACTTGCAACCTGGGCAGCAGTGGGCAGCAGCAGCTCGTCCTGGGCTAACCCCCTGAGCCTGTCCCTAAGTCGCCCTTTTCTCGGACTTCTTAGCCAAAGCAGCCAGCCTGGGCTCCTTGCTCTGCCTAGTCGCTCTCCTATTGCTCGTTCTGTCCTACACCCTTTCTTGTTTCCCTGTCTCCAACTTTAATAAACGTCCTCTCAAAAAAAATGTGGCAAGATAATCCAGTTACATCAAAGCAAGCACCCCACTTCTATTCCAAATAAGTACTGTGCTGATCCCCTCTGTGGAAGGACTCCCCAAGATACCTAGACCCAGTGGCTTCATTGTCCCAACACTTACCTTTTGTCATTGCTCATATGGATCTGGCCTAGTACACTCCTCATTTTAACACAAAAACCTAAACATAAGCACTTACGCCAACAGAAAGCTTAGTATTTTTAATTCTAGGCCCTCCTTGTTAAGGATTTCCTATGTGCCCGGTACTCATATAATTCAGCACCAATGCTCTGAAACTGCTAAGCCCATTATACAGATGGGGAAACTGATGCTTGGGAGAGGTTAGAGACCAAATGTGAAAAACTGGAGCACCGTGACTGGCATAAAATAAATATTATTTATATCTTAATGTAGTTGAACCTTGACTGCCAAATACTTGAATCTGGCATAGGGGCCAGTAAGTAATATGTGGTCGTGCTTCAAGTTTATGAAGTGCCAATATGTGACAGACCTAATTCAATTCAAATAGATCTAGAC